GTCACCGTTCGGAAACCCATAAAATCTTATCGGTCTTATAACTTTATCCACTACATAGTTATGGAACCAATAAGGGCAAATGTTGAGAAACCGGGCATAACACGCAAAAAGTTTCGTCCACGTGGAAAAGTTTTTATTTATGGGAATTGCCAGCCACCCCTCATTAAGGAACAAGGAAGAGTAAAACATCATGTACTTGCCCCAGGGAAACACTGTGCTACTCACATATTGTAGCTCTTATCATATATATCATACTATCATATCACGCACATTACAATGGTAGTGCGACGGACATTGAGTGCCATTGGAATACCCCATGTTCTAAGCCCAGCGAGGCAAAAATTGCTAAATTAATAAACTTATAATGCTTGCGGTCTGGAGCCCAGCACTTCACCGTTTTAAGACTCTGAAACGTGTTGGTTTTGCAAATATGTTTAAAAAATACTCTAATATTGTATTGTTCTTATGTTTAGAAGTAAAATTAAAAATCTGTAGCCCAATTCTCTTTCTATTGCGATGGAATGGCTGAACTTTAACCTAAAAATGATAGAGTTAAATGGATATATTCCCGAGACGCTACGCTAAAGATACTGCCTAAATTATTTGAGATGGTACAAAGCATATTCCACACCAATACATTTGATTTACACGTAGATCAAACACGTTGGAGGCACACAAAACCGGAAAATCGAAAAATTCCTATGTAAAAAGTACAATGTTTGGATTAAAAAACATGACCTACCCCAACGACGCCGGATGCTCACGTCACACTAATGGTGCGAATTCCCTTTCCGTTCATAACGAACTTCCACGCTCAGCAACACGAATCGTGCGGAGTGGTTTATATTGGTGAGAGCGAGAGACACAGACTGCGAGAGACAGGTCAGACACATGGTCAGACAGGCAGTGACTTGTTGTTTTTTGCCGCGTTATGTATGTACATTGTTTTAGAATGGAAAAACAAAAGCGCAAAGCTTTTTCACTAAATGAAAAGTACGAAATTATTAACAAAATAAAAAGTGGAGTAAAGCAGAGTGACATTTGTAAGGAATTAGCACTTGGAAAGTCTACTGTTGCAACAATATGGAAAAACAGAGAAAACATTTTATCAGCGTATGACAAAACAAATGTTAGATGTAAGAAGTTAAAATTATCTGCACATGATGAGGTTGACAAGGGACTTATTAAGTGGTTTATTGAAAAAAGACAAGAAAACGTTCCCATAAGTGGCAGTGTTTTGCAAGAAAAGGCTAGTGAAATGGGGAGTAAAATCAAACACAAAGAGTTTGTTTGTTCTAGAAGTTGGGTGGAACGTTTCAAGAAGAGGCATAATATCAGTAGCGGAAAAATTGTTGGAGAGTCTGCCGGTGTGAACATGAATATGGTCAATGATTATGAACCAGACGATGAAATTCCACTTAACGAATGGTTAGAAAAGCATAAAGACTCCGACTACGAGTATGACTCAGATGAAGATGTGCACAATTTTGCCGAAGAACAAGTTAAAACCAAATTGAGTGATTTCAATTTCTTCGAATATGTGAGCATTGATAATGGCATTGTTAAAAGAGAAATGTTGACCGATGAGCAAATTATAGACTCCATAACCTCATCTACAGCTTTAAGCAATAATGAGGAAGATGACGATTTAAGTGAAACTGATTCTACTCTAGACACTAATGCTGTTCCAACCATTTCTGAAATGACAAAAAAAGTGTCAGAAACTCGGAATTTTCTACAATCACGCCAAGTTCCTAATCATATCTGGGAGTCATTTTGTGATCTTGAAAACTACATAAATAACATCTATTTTTGCAGCAGAAATGTACAAAGAAAAATTTTTGAAAAAGATTTTATGAAGTAGATTTCAAATTGTGTTCTGTTTTTCTTTTTGTGTTCTTTTTAGTTTTACCTACTAACTTCTACTATTCTATGTAAAAATAACGAAATAAAATGCACCACGTGTTTTTGTATTATTATTCGCTTATAGCGAACTTCGGATATCACGAACCAGTTTTAGTTCATTTTTTAAGTTCGTTATATCCAGACACAACTGTAATCATATTAATTTAAAAACAAGTAATCAAGTTACATGTACCTAGGTGAAACGTTGGCCCATGAAAAACAGTGTTTCATTTTTTGCCACCAGCTATTGACCGATAAACCTATAGACCTAAATAGGCATCATTTACTGATTATAAGCTGTACCAAAAGAAAAACCGAAAAACCTAAATAAAAAATTTTCTATTGAGCAAAAAAGAACTCTTAACCCTTGTAATGTGACCGAGGTCCGGCTTTTTTCCACCTGTAATTCCTTTAACGCAGTTTTAGGTCTTGATGATTCTACATTTTTATAGATAGAGAATCCGTTAAATGGGCGGCAAAATTGGGCAGAATTCGATTGCCTATTCATTATTGTTTTCAAAATTTAGGTACTCGACTTCTTGAAATATCCTGAAAAGACAAGAAATCAACACTTTTTTAATTATCACATATTACGTAAACTGCTTAACTTAGAAAAAAGTTAAAATTGTCCTTGGTAGAACTTTTTACGTTGAATCCAATAAATTAGCACTCGTTGTCGTAGTCAACTTGATTTACGAGATAAAAAATAATTTTACGTTTTTTTAAATGGTAATCATAGTTGGCTGTGAGCCTTTTAAAATCCTTATTTTTTTCCAAATTTAGCGATATAACTGTTTGTATGTTTATCTGTTCTTTTAACCGTAAAAATTCAAAAGAACATTAAAAATGTGTAGTAGGCTCTGGTAGGCCACACTGTATGTGGCCTAAAATAAATTTATAGTGGACGCACGTGACTTTTCATTTACCCGATATGCTAACTATTTAACACTTGTATTTGTACTCAAAAATGGTATGTTTCAGGGGACAAGTTTTCTTGAAATTTTCATTTTTGAACGTTCAATACGCTGGTAAAATTTATTACAATCACGTGTGGGTCGCCCTACAATGGTAGCCACTATCTATTAGGGAATATAATCATTATTATGTATATTTTACTAACGAATTACATTAATTTTATGAATAACCGTGGAAAAAACATTAATTAAACTTGCTGTATTGTTAGTCACGACTCTTGGCACTCCGTGCCATGCCTTTGTTTCAGCGATGCCAGGTCTACCGATTCGTCAAGGAATCTACCGATACCATGCAGATTTCTACCGAAAAGTAACAAATAAAAGTTTAAAAATTTATCTTGGTTTACTTAAAATAATAAAACACATTTCCATTCATGATCAAAGTACGTTGGCAATAGCAGACATTTTATTTTAGAACACCTCGTATTTCTGAGTTATTTTTCAAGCAACAATAAATCAGGCCTGCCATAGATCATAAATATGATAATGTATCATAAACCATGCCTGTCAGAGCTATGTAAATATACGTCTCTATGTCATCTCTATATTACACGTCATGAACGAATAGAGATGGCGGCGCTTGAGTGAGCCCACCCACGGCTGCCTCTGGTAGAGCGAGGTACTAGAGCGAAGGGCGTTGGCCGAGGGTTGTACTGACGTCGAGAGTACGCACAGTTTGGTTTTTTGTTCGATAGTTCCATCGGGATACATCTTCAATACAAGTTTCACTGTTTTAGCAAACGCAGAGTATAATATATGTAAATATATTACTCTGGTTTTAGTTGATTTTAGTGGTTGCGCTGACGGTGAAACTGCTGAGGTTTTAAATTCAATTCAGCTTCTCAAAAAAAATGATTTGTTATGGGTGATATTAGTGATAGTGGAGGTGATGGCACCACTCAACAACCAAAAAAAAAAAAATTAAATATTCGCAAAATTATAAGGAAGAATGTAAACATCTGCCAGATTTTAAAAACTGGATTTAGAAGAGCAACAAAGGACCACAATTTGCAAAATGCAATGCAAGAGATATTTTTATTTAAAAGAGAGAAAAGTGTTTATTTCTTGAAATTACTATGAATAATTTTATTAGCAATTTGTATGATAAAAATTTTATTATTTTTTGTGAGATTATTATTTTATGAACAATGTGTTTTAATGTTTAAAGAAATATTATAAATATACCTATGGACTCTTACGTTTATTTTAGTATTGCTGTAAGTTCATAAAAATTCATTTTATGGAGCCCCTAGCAATGAAAGAAAAATGAGTCTATCGATTTTGTACGATAACTACCGAAAAGTGTCGAGCTTATTTACCGTAACTCGATTATCGGATCTGGCAACGCTGCTTTGCTCCACCACTGCCATGTGTCACTTTAGCTTTGTTTTGCGTTTGACGGTTTAGTCAGTTTAATGTTTGCTTACTTTGCTTGCATTCTGTCGGTTTAATCTGTTGTTTTCTATATGGTGAGAAACCGGTAAGCATTTAGGTAAGAATTACTGAAAATATGAAACAGACCCCACTAAATAAACACGGTATACGTTATCCTAAGAAATCTTTTATTCAATGAACTTGTCGGCGCAAGAATATCTAACTTAATCTAGGGCCAAACCAAAAGGAAATCGATACTCGACAAAGGGCCGGAATAATAGCCGGCGTTTTAGCGTTGTTTTTATTATTTTTCGGTAAGTTTTTCTCATTAGCGTTGAAAAAGCATACATATGTGAGCAGAATAGGCTTTTAATAGATCTTCCTGTAGAAGACGTGTGGGTATAAAGCCTAATTTAGCACTCATCAATTTTATACTACAATTTTTTAAATATAAATTCAGTCAGAGATGAAATGAAAGTTATTTGAATAGTAATAAACGTAGTAAGGTCGACATATTTTTAAAAATAATTTTTGGTGATTCCAAAATTAACTCGAGTAATACTTCGTCCAGGATTGCCACGCATTTCTGTTTTATGTTATTGTGGGTTATTTAATGTTATTGTGAAACGAAATGCGAGAGATTATTTTCTAAAACGGGTGCTATCAAAACGAGCGAAGGACTAGACTCAGTAAAAAGCATCTTCAAAAAATGTTATTATTAAATGTTAGTTAATTTTTAAATAAAAAATACATTTTTAAACATTTTTGCATACAAACCGTATATTTTATATAATCACTCTAGATTATCAGTTTCTTTGTTCTTTAAGTAGCTACTTCTGACCCATGTTTTGTTTTTGATTTTAGAATATGTATTTTATTTTTACAAGTTTACCAATGTTATGAAATATTTTTTAAATAAACTGAATCATGATATATCATCACTATTTTTACTATCATCATCATTGCGCATTTTTAATGAGAAATTTAAAAAGTAACATGTTCTTTTGAGAACCGCATTTTGAAACCAAAGTGAACATGAACGTTGTAACCTGTTACAGCTGCTTTAATATATCGATTAATGACAAAGTTGAAATTTAATTTTCAAATCTTAGTATCTTCGAGAAATGAGCTGAATTTAAGTAAAAATCCCGTACTATTCACATATCCCCATTGAGAAATAACACAAATTTTGAATCATAATCATAATCTGTATAAACTAACATGCTGGCATATGCAGGGTGCCATTTTTACGGACTCTAATATGGGGCTCTCGGTTATTATAAACGGTACAAGATGGATTATGGATCTTTAGCACAAAACCTGCTTGAGCAAATGCAATAGACCAGACGTTTTTATTGTGACGATTAAAAATTTCCAAGTTCGTAGGCTCGTCTAAAAACATCTCGTTGATTTTGAAGAAAAAGTCAGGATTTTGCTTTGATTTGCAAGATTATTATTATTATTACATGTTGTAATATGGCTTACATTTCGGTGCAAATCGTAGTAAATTTGGAGCTTATCTGCTTTTTTCATTGATACTTAAATTAATTTTCAACTTTTTATACACCACTGTGTTCCTCAGACATAATCATGGATTTTTGTTCTCAAAGCACTCTTGGCGAAATTTTTGAAAAGTTTGATCAAATCGTTTTTGGACAATAAAACAGTGCATCAGTTATGTTTGAGTGGAAACCTATACTTTCATCGGTTTTCCAATTATAAAACCAAAAAGACATTTCAAACATTTTTTTCAATTGTTCTCTTCAAAAACTCAATAATCCAGGAGAAACGTTGTTAATGGCATCTTTCATAAAAATAGAGATTTACAGGGTGGTCCTTGTAAATGCGTTATATGGTTACTGCAAATTGTAGATGTCAAAATAATAGGATTTACTCAAAACACTCCTTAGTAAAATATTGGGCTTTTAATGGTGGGAACTTCCAGTTTCAACTTATTTTTAAGGTATCTGTTAGAGGGCGCTACGCATGCTATGATGTTTGGTTATTTTTTATTTTTGAATAAATGATAATAATATCGTATAATAATAAGCTCTCTTTTATCAGTAATGTTAGTCATCGTCATTTTTGAAAGGTATTCACATTATTTGGATTGAGAAATTCAAATAAGATTTTCACTTTGATCAACAAATGAGGATCATCAAGAAATGAGCTTTCAACATGGAATGTGTGTACTTCCTTCAGTAACAAAATGTTAAGCTTTTTTTTTGTTTCTGCTTCACTTTGAGTCTTCAAATAATTTATTCTTCTTCTTCTTCATTCTTGATTTTAGGCGAATCGCTCTCCATCGTTTCCTGGGGCGCCCAACGTCTCTTCGTCCCAATGGCAATACTCTCAAGTCTGCGGTCGTCCATCCTGCTTATGTGCTCATTCCATTCTTTCTTCCTGTTTGCTACCAATTCATTGATGTTCTTGACATAACAGGCTGTTTTGATATCCTCGCTTCTCTTTCTATTCAGCAGTGTTTTTCCGGTGATTCTACGGTGTACTTTCATCTCAGCTGTCTCTAGGAGTCTTGGTTTTCGCTGTTTCTGGCCTGGTTTCTGCGGTATATGTCATCACCGGCCTCACGCAGGTTTTGTAGATCCTCGATTTAGTGTCTTTAGTGTCCATTTCCATACTCTTATTGCATCATATGGCATTCAGACAGCCAGCTATTCTAATTGCTCTTGTTGTTTGATTGCTCACCTCTGCCTCAATATCCCCAAAGCCGAAAAGTTCCACGCCAAGGTAAATAAATTTCGTTTTCTGCTCGATTATCTACCGTCAAGTTCCAGTTTGCATCTTAGAGAGGTTTTTGATGTTGTTAAACACTTTGTTTTGGTCGGTGATATTTCCATATTTAGAGACTTGGCTGTCGGGTTGAATAAGTGTAATAACCTTTGTAAGTCATCTTCACTTTCTGCGATGAGAGCGGCATCGTCAGCATAACACACTAATTTGATTTTTGCATCCCCCATTTTGTATCCCTTTAGCCCTCGAACACTTCGAACAATTTCTTCCATTATTAAATTGAAAAGGGTAGGGCTCAGAGAGTCTCCCTGACGAATACCGCTACCCGCTGGTATTAGTTCTGTAAGGTCTCTTCTATTTGTGCTCGCATTTAATTGTTTGTATATATGTTACCTATGGTTTTAATGGGATCATGTTAGTTTAAAATATCTCCTAATGTTCAAGGGTTATTTCATTCTGCAAAATATATTAAGAACCCTGTTTAAACAAAGGTTTTTGTTCTATACTTCTTTCGAACAGTTCGTAAGTTAATAAATATTACACAGACTAGACCGCCAGTAGACTTTCCCATTACAAATCAAGTTGGAAACCCAATAAACATATAGTATAATAGCGGCTAAGTGATACTATTGTCATCACTAAATCAAAAAAATAATTAATCATTAACAATATTTAAAAAAAGGTTTGCGTCACGGGACGCTCGACAGAAGTGATGTCTTCATATTGTTTATAGAAACCATAAAATATCGATCTTGTTTAACGCATGATGGTGATACTAATTTATAATGTCAACATTCTTGTTAAAGTCTAGTAATTTATAAATGGAGGAATAGGTAAAATGTAATTTAATTTTCTTTTGAATGTAAAAATTATATTTTATTTACATTTAATATTCTTCACTAGTTGGATTTGACTCGCTGGTATTTACGTTATCATTATCTAATCATATAAAAGTGACAATTGGTTTATAATAACTGTAATAAGAACTGAATTGTGATTTTATCTTGCTCTATTGAAGCTTGTTTTGGATTATTTATCATCTATAATTGTAACTTTTATTCAATAAAATACATTAAATTTTGGGCTCTATCAGAACATTCAACATTAAAATCTCCACTTAGAATGAAGGGTACGGTATGGAAGTTTTGGCCAAGCAAACTGGAGCCTTAAGGCCGGTCGTCCTTTAACAGCGTTCGTCAGAAATCGTGCAAAAACGGGCGTATAATCCAATTTCATTGCAACGTACTGGAGCTCGTTGACCATTGCGATGTGCGAACTATCCGAAACGTATGGGATTTGTTCGCAGGTTTGCAGTGTTTCTGACTGAATAGCGAATATTTTTAACACACTGAGCTGAAATGGATGTTGAAAAACCAATAAGTATTTCTGATTATTTTTAGGATCTTAAAATAAATGATGGAATTATCCAAATTCTTTTCTTGTTTCTGTTGTTTTTTGGTTGCTAATGTATCAGCAACCCAATAGTTTTTTTCTTTTTAACTAATCGTCTTCTCACAAGATAACTAGTTCCCGAAAGAAAATAATTCATTATTATTAACAGTTGTATAATCACAATTATTATTATATAATTACTCTGTTATATATGTACTTATTTGATACATGACAAGACATGACCAATTTGTACGATAAGAAAAACTTCCAGTGGAGGAATCCCCACATATGCGAAATCTGATGTAGTCGTTCCAAAGAAAGGGCGTCTTTCCATTTTGCTTACAATGGTTCGTGCGATTTCGAACGAATGATTTAGCTATCTAGTGGACGAGCGTCACTACGTTGCAATGAAATTGGATGACTAGCTCCTTTTCGCACAATTTCTGACGAAAACAGTTTGGACCAAACCGCATCCAGATGATCGGCCCACAGACTGCACATTATTATACACTACATACTACACACTATTATATTCATACGATCGGCCTAATGGAAGGTCTAAGGTTCGTGGGCGGCTGTGTGCGTGCGAGAGAGAACTGCGCACTTGTCTTTATCTTAACAGAAATATCTGCCCCGTAACTCACTCCAGTCCATTTTAGCACCAAAAGTGTTAACCTTTCGCGGCAACTACTGGGAACTTGTGGTTTTTTTCTTGCTTTTAGACCTTTGTGGAAAATATTATCTTTCTGACGTTTCGTATCTTCCGAAGTGTTTTGCTCGAAATCTTGCACTGGACTGAGTAAGCTGCAAAACACTCTCTGAGGATGCAAGCCACTCGTGCTTGCTCAACGTCAGGTAAAGTTCTTTAATGCGGCGCCCAAAGGACCTGAAAACTCACCAGTTCCAAGAGTATGAATTTTAGGTATTTTAGAAGAAAAGGGGTAATTTGAAGCTAAACCATGCATTTTATGAATTATTTACTAAATAACACAAGTCGTATAACACAACAGCGAATTACTAGACTGCCAAATAATCTATTACTTTAATTAAAACGCCTTTATTTTTTCTTCGCTCATACATAATTTTAATGACATGGATATTGTGCCACTTTGTCACAATATAATTGAATGTAAAAAACGTATAAAAGAGCATTTGTTTCTAATCGTAGAAAATGAGTCAAATTGAGTCAGTCCAAGAGAGCTTGACTCCAGTGATCAATGAAGATAAGAAAAGCATTCAAGAGGAAGAACGTGAAAAGATTCTAAATGTCGAAAACGAACAGAAAAACACTAAAGGTAAGTGCAAGTTAAACACAGTTGATCTAAAATAGTTTCTCTGTAAAATAGTTTCATATTCATCAAGTCGGAGGGTAACAATCAGGTTTTTATAATAAGTGTTTTATTGTAAACGGCTAAATAGTGTATATACAGGATGGTTATTAACAAAGAGATATTCAAACGCTAAAAATACGTCAAATGTAAACTTTTTCCAGTATGCAATTATATAGTATATTCAGCTTTTGTATTTTCCTTTGTATCATACTGTATATTTTATTCTGGTTTAAGAACATTTTCCTTCATATTTTCCTCGTTTCAAAAAGAGCCTACGGCAAACAGTTATTATATGCAAATGTAAATCACTACATAATCTTTTCCATGTAGAAATGATGGAAGAAAAGAAGCTCAAAGAAGGAATGGAGGTGAAACCTAAAAAAATCCCAATTGGAGGAATTCAAATGCCTGGATTTTTCACCAGGAGCAAGTCAAAAGAACAGTGCAAGGTATCAAGTCCCAAAGGCGGCACATGCAACAGGGTAAATTCGTAACATTTATAGGAAGATGATCAAATTGAAGGAACTGAGCTGATTGAACAAGACAACGAGAAGAAGGAAGAATCGGCTCCAGTTCAGACCAGAATTAAATTGCCCAATCCATTTAAGAAAAATAAGGAAACTGAAGAAGGTTTGTAGAGGCATGTTAAAGCTGGGGCAAATAAAGTGTAACGAACTATTACGCCTAATCGGTAACCTTTTTAAAGGGCGTTTTACAGTCGACAATTTTATTGCCCGCAACTTTCTTGCGGCTATAATTTTAGTATTCCGCTTTACAGTGTGCAATGTTAAACCTCACATTTAGACAAATCGATGAAGCGTACCAACTATTAACTATAGATGAAAATTTCAAATTCTGTTTGTTTTCGTTTGAGGTTACAATTATATTGCCAACGGAATTATTGTGATTAACATAAGTTGGGGTTTATTTCGATAAAAAACGAAAATAAGCAAATATGCCAATGATGGTTATTTATATTACTATGAGTGAACAGTTGGCAGCATAAAAAGAACCAGAAAAGTCACTAAAGTTGCGGCTAGCTGCAAGACATTGTAGGTTTGGAACTATAGCCGGCGAGTGCAATAAGTGTTTCCAGCAACTCGAGAGCCGATCAAATGCGCAAACGTAGAACGAAATATTGCATGCAAGAATGTCGCGGGAATAAAGTTTCCGACTGTAGAACGGCCTTAAAACGAAAACCAGTTTTTTTTCGGTAAATATGAAAATGCAATCTGATTTTGTCTTACAGAAATGTATAAATGAGAAAATAGCACAATGTGCAGCTTAATAGAAAATCATGTAGGCAAGAAGTAAGAAATGATGAAATAATGATTTTCGTGACAAATAAAGGCGAATATCGATCCTCGTTTTATATCACTTGACGCCGACAYTACAAGTGCGGCTGACGTCTTCTCGCCTTGCAAGGAAATATACTGACTATTTTGTACTCTCTGGACTAAATGKACTTCTTTAAAATTGATTTACGCGGCYTTCTTCAAATTWGCGTMTTTTGGTCTTTACATCTTGTGTTGTTATCAAACAGACTTGCCCGGTTTTTGGTAGATTTCCTTATTGGTACGATAACTATCGGTCCGCTAAAGTTGTAGGTTCTATAACTTATGGTGGGTTTCTCAACGTGTCTAAACGTGAAAGCTAGTGATCCATAMCTATCGARTCTATAAAGTAATCAAAGCGTGGTATTCTGTGGGCAAAGCCATATAACGAAGAAGAAGAATCTGTAAAGACCGGTTAGAGTGACTTGAGTGTTATCAAAAACATTTGTCCGGTTTATTTTACTTCAGAGATCTGGGACCTATTTAATATTACAAGCTATAAGTGTTGGGCTTCGAAGAAAAAATCAAATAAATACAATCTATGCAAATATATTTTGTCATTCTACCTGTTGCATAAAACCTTAGAGTAATTAGCAATTGTTCGCAAACAGATAAACTGTGGTGTATCTGGCACTGTCTGAATTTGTTCCTGAAGTAGCTCTTCTAGGTAGAGAGCAACGTTTTTGGTTAAACGAAAACGATCTCGGAATTCATCTTCGCTGTATTTCTAAATGATCATTCCGTGTTCGAAAATGGCGAATTATTTCACTATTAATAACATAGAAAACTTCCTCGTCAGATGAGTCGGAAGTGGAATTTTCGGAGTTGGAAAACTTTGCTTCTATTTCACAGATAAATTTTGCTCCCAAAAATGTTATTATTGTTTTCCCAAAACGTGTGCTCTGCTCGCAGCTGATTTCGTATGACTTGACACTAATGACCGAACAAAGTTTTTTGATAACACGAGGTAACACAAGTCACTCTAACCGGTCTTTACAACTTCTTCTTCGTTATATGGCTTTGCCTACTTTATAGACTCGATAGTTATGGATTACTAGCTTTCACGTTTAGACACGTTGAGAAACCCACCATAATTTATAGAACCTACAACTTTAGCGGACCGAAAGTTATCGAACCAATAACGGAATTTACCAGAAGCCCGGCACGAGAGCGGCGCGGTTCTTCAAGGTAACGAACCGCTAGCTCTTAACGAACGTTGCAGAAACCCATTTTTCCGACCTATAGATCCGTTTAGGCTATTGGAACTATAAAGATCGTTTCAGAAACCGGGCAATAAGCTACAAAGGCATACAATTGCCTTTTCTATAAAGCCAGTACCATGACCTTAACATGATTTTTGTGACTTATTTCAGTTTAAAGTTCTGTACGTCTTGTAAAAAACACCCTCTAATTGTTTTGCAAATCTGACTTTCTACCTCGGTCTACCTTTGTGCAAATGACAATACTGACTAGTTTTCTTATTTTCAAATTGCCACATTAAAAATTATTTGAAAAAACTGAAATAATTACATTAATCGAGGAAAGATGGAGATTCGGAAACCGAATAGCACGATTTATAAAATTGTAAAAAATATATTACATTGACAAATTAAACTAAGTTTGTGACATATTTCACAAAGCACACACTATTTGACGTATTTCACAAACCCCGATTTACCAAAATGGGAAAAAATCGTCTTTAGGAGTCCTCTACTTTTAAATGGTTTTCCAATAGGGACGCGTCGATGTTGAAATGGAATAAAATAAGCTGTGTGTGAGGTATTAACGAAATTTGTTTTTTATTTGCATGTCCCGTGTATGACATTATGTATGCAATATGACATCGTTCAAATGTTTGCCGCGGCTTCTCACGTTGGCACGTATCCGAGAGATTCCATTTTCAACGACTGTGCCTGCTCCTCCCGCATGATCTCCTCACACGGCCGGGCCGCATAAATACGACAGGGGAGCCAGTCTTAGTCGGAAAGTACGGGAGATCATTTCGCCCACTGCCTCATCGCCTTTGATAATGTCCATCGCAGTTGTGGACGAAACGTCAGGAAGAAATTCCCATGGACCACGGATTCAAAGCCCGAAAAACATTTCTAAATGCGTCTACAAGTTGTTTGCTAACTAAATACCATAATTCGAACTTATGCGAGATTTTGTTGCGCGTTTACAGCTGTGATAGACCGATGTTGTAATATGTACATCCTCAAAAAATCTCATCTTTAGGGAGAGTCTTATGTCTTAAAATCTGAAGCATGGACATGGTACACGGAAGACGCGCAAGTTGGGACGGGAAGTTTTTCGCAATCCATCCATATTTTGACGAGAGCAGCAAAGATTGAGGCACATTGTGTACTGTTTCATTTTCGGATTGCAAATTCCAGATTTGAGATTGCTGGTCTTCACACGGAGCGATCTCGTCGAGCCTGCGATGTATACGTGCAAAATATCAAGTTTAGACGTGAAACGCCGCAAGCAAGCGGGAAACGCCCTGGAAATTTAACGCAACCATCTATGGTCTGTTTTTCTACGACAAGTAAAAGGGATTTGTGCAGCACTCAAACATGCAGATTCGATATTTGTGGGTGTTTAATACGCGGGCGAACAAAACTCACATTTTGCGTCGTGCTTCCAGTTTCTTCGTATTTCCGAATTAGTCTGTGCCACTCTGTCGGAGATTCCCATTGACCGGGCACAAGCGTGGGGAAGGCAATCTGGTTGACAAGCCTGACGCGGCTGCGGTAGTGGATTCGCCATCCACATCCGCAATAACTAGCCTGAAGAGGTTGCGGTAGCGGATTGAGCCAGGTGCACAATAGCTAACTAGCCTGACGAGGCTGTGATAGTGGATTAAGCCAGCGCAGGCGAGCTGTCGGCCATCTCCGCAATAACGGTAAGGGTGTGAGAGCCGGGGTAAAAGTGTCGGTTGACGTTCGGGAGAAGTACGGGGAAATTGTGGGCATAAGTCAGAGAGAGAGTCAGGGATTTTTTGTGTGGAAATCGAGGGACAAGGGAAAGGCGAGCTTCAGGGTTTATGGAAAAGTTGCATGGGTTGATGTGCTGAGCAACGCTTCGGCGACCTCGCGCACATCTACGCATCCCTTGATGGGAAATGTCGGAGATATAAAAGGCAGAACAGGATGGGAATACTTTACTTTACTCCCCATCCCTCCGCTAATTGGTTGGGTGGATGGTTTCAAGGAACGGGTTTGGTGTTCCGTGAGAGCGGATTCGGGATTTAGTCGGCTTTGGCTAGAAACGGCTTGAGATGTAAAAGTACGGGTCCACTGGATACTTTTGTATCGCAACAATGTTGTGCAACATGCTGGAAACACGTGTTTCCGGTCGACAGGGCAAATTTAACGTGTATCGCAACAAAATTGGTGTTGCGGCTATACACCACTTGATGCCCGAGAGCATTTAAGTGGACACAGATGTTTTCTTGTTGCGCTTGTGTACGTGATTTTCCATAAATTTTTTATAATTTTTTTTAAATTAAAGAAAAAATAAATAAATTTTAAAGTTAACTTGTTAGCCATCCCTAGTGTAACTTCAACTTGCACTTGAAGCTTTCAGAGAAAAATGTGAACAAAAAGGCACGAAAAAAATATAAAAAAATTAATAGAAAATCACCCAGAAACCCTACATCATGGACTTATGTTTGTGCAAATAACTCGAATACGACGACGGATACGAAAAAAAATGCAAGAGATCAGAAAATTCTTAAATTGAACAACAAATGCAAAAATGTGTTCAGTCGAAGTCAGTCGCGCACCACATAAAAACTCGGGCGAGTAAAAGGGGGTATGCCTCTAGATAAAAAGAACACCCTGTAGATTTTCACAACCAGTCGTCTTACCTACACGCCCCTGCTCTGTGTCCATAAGGTTGTGAATCACCCTGCATAATCAAAATCGTCTAGTAAACGCAGCACGGCAACAAATGTAGCGCAACAATCGATTTGTTGCGATACAAAAGTATCCACTGAACCCGCTTTAGGAGTCAAAGAAAAGACGCACGCTGGGGGTCGCCGAGAAGCGTAAATCTAATCTAAAGCAAACAATTTAGGGTTCTGTTCAGATGTAACTTTGAACTACAGAATGTACTACTTGTTCTGTGTTCGAAATTAAATCTTGACGAGAAGCACAAAGTCAACAAAATGTTGAAAACGGATGGAATAGAGTTGCCACAAGATGACACTTGATTTTCTTTTAAAACCTTTTTCAATCGAGCGATGGGCTTACAGACAATGAATTCGTAAATTTAACATTTACTTGACTTTGGGCAAAATTTGTAATTATCTGGTTAGAATATTCAAAAACAGTAATGTATCTATAAGTAAGAAATATGATTATTACATCATATAAATTAAACGTATATACAAATTTTCGGCAGGGACCAATTAGGCGTAGTTTTTCGTCAGAGTTTCAATATCGTTTCATTGAACTATGAACGAATGAAATGTGCTTAAATGTTTTATGTATGGAACTTACAGATGAGAAAACTGCCGAGCCGAAAGACAGATTAAAACTTCTCGACACAATTCGAGTTCCCCTAGTTTCGGTGTTTGAACGGATGAAAAAGAACACGGAGTCGCAAAACTTAACCAAGCACCAGGTACAGGCGGAATTAGCGTCTATGGAGACTTTAGACGAGAAGAGCAATGATGAAAAAGACCATGGAGAGCTAAAAAATGTTCCACTGGATGACAAAAGCCCCAAAGACATCGAAAAACAACAGGAACCTCAAAGAACGTGGAGTCAAAAATTGAAAGACTACCGGCTAGTTATCGGTAAGTAACAGCAGATCATTTGAGTTTATTATTATTTTCTTTTGAATATAATACATTAATTATTAGATAGCCGTATGCAAAACATATTGAGCAAATGGTCATTTATCATAAATTAACTGAGATAAATATGTAAATGGCCACGGTTTTTGTCTGGGATGTGCGTCTAAAGGCGCGTACGGACATGCAACAGAAAACAGTAACGTAACCATCGCGTATCAAGTCTGGACGGCAGTCCGCAACACCGTATCATCGCTGCGCCCTATCAGTTGTCGGTCTTTTGTTGTCGCGTTTGTTGCACCAGACCGTTGCAAGTCTGGACTCAAATGCACACGTTCAGGATTTGTTGGATTTCATCAGTTTTTATTTTATTCTTTTGAAAGCCCGGCACTCACGTACAACGCCGTCGCACAGAGGTCGTTCTATTTTATTTAGGAAGTTATAATTTATTAAAAAAAGTAACAACAAAACATTATTTTTTGCCTTATCTTAAAAATAAAATTCCATCTAATAAAATGCTGATGTTCTTTTTTATTTTATCGTATTAAGTTACTAAGTTGTTGGTCACCAAAGTGACACCAATATTCAAATTGTGTTCTTACTTGAAATAGTCGCTTTTTATTTCCTAAGTTCGATTGATTATTGCGGTGTTTGTCGTCCCGTTTGTGTAATTCAGATTTTACCCTGTTAAAGAGTTGGGTAAGTACTTTACATCTTTGTATTAACGTTTTTTTCTGATACTTGTAAAAGTCTTTAAAAAATAAAGGAAGTAGCATTACTGATAGTTACTTATAAACAAAAAATTGATAAAGTTGCAGATTTTGATGTTTAGGCATGTTTATGAACATGCCTAAACATTGAAACATTTTTTTTTTCGTTAGTACATTTTATTAAGTTTTAATCAATATAAAATTTGTGTGCCAAGAAGTGCCTATATCGAAGAATTTGTTTTTTTAGTAACGATGTCAATTCGGAAAAGCGATATGTTTGATGATTGGTGTGGAGAAAACTTATTCCAAGAAAATAATGTTTTGATCTGTTTGATGTTTTAAATAAGCTTCATTTAGAAGGTAATAAAGATGGCAGCAAACGTGATTCAGTACAAGAAATGGCAAATAGTTTTACTAGTTCCGTTTCAAAAATGTGGAAAAACTGCAATCACACTAGAAAGGTTTTCGAAAAGAGACATTCTCACTGGGTGGATAAAAGCATTATTTTTTTGGAAGACCAAAACAAACTTGATCCTACCAGAGGTAGAAAGAAAGAAACGAGCGAAAGAAACAAAAGCTTATGCCGATTTTGCAAACCTAGTTTTGCTCTAGTTCCACTCCAAATGACAGTAGAAAACGGCACTATACTTTGGCAAAATAATCGTACATCTTTCACTAGGTTTTGCCGACCAATAAAACGAAATTTTGAGAAAGAAACGCCTGAATTAACAAAACAAGTGGTTGCCAATATGAAACAAGAAATATCGGAAATGGAACCAACTATTATTCAGAAACACCAGTTACAAATTTCCCATACTTTCAAAATGACCATGATAGATGGGAAGCTGTTCAGCGTACTTGGTCAGTCTTCAACACAGACATGTGGTATATGCGGTGCAACCCCTAAAGTTTTGCATAATTTAAAAACAATATTAAATCTTACACCAAATGAAATATGACTATGGCATCTCAACACTTCATGCTTGGATAAGATGCTTAGAATGTTGCCTACATATCTCTTATAAAATAACAATAAAAAAGTGGCAGATACGCGAAGATAATGAGAAAAATATCGTAAAACAAAGAAAACAGGAGATAATACAAAAATTAAAAGAAGAGTTGAATTTGCTGGTCGATGCCCTGTGCGGCATACAGGGATATGGAACTACTAATGACGGAAATACCGCCAGAAAATTTTTCGAAATTATTCCGTTGCTTCTGTAATAACAAGAGTTGATGAAGATTTGTTGAAGCGATTATACGTTAAATTGACAGCAATGTGTTCCGGGTATGAAATAGCCGTGGACGCGTTTACTCAGTATTGCATGGCAACAGCCAAGTTGTTTGTGGAATGTTATCCATGGTATTACATGCCTTCTAGTTTGCACAGGATACTCATTCATGGACCAAACATTATAAAAGCAGCACCTCTTCCAATCGGAATGTTTTCAGAAGAGGCACTTGAATCCCGAAATAAAGAGTTTCGAAGGTATCGCGAATCATATTCAAGAAAATTTTCATGGCAAAAAACAATAAATGACGTATTTTGCCGGCTATTATTATCATCCGATCCATGCAGATCATCGCTATCTCAATGTATAGGTACACGCTCAAATAAAGAACCACTAACACATGATGTACTAAAGTTACTCCAACAACCAAATTTAGCAGAAATAGCAGCCTCAGAACATCTCGACAGTGATAAGCATTTAAATTGTTTTTTAAAGAACTATCGTCTCTATAGTCTAAAGGACTACTTATATATTAGGAGAATTTATGTTGATATTTGCGTTTTTATGTATAACACCCTGTACAAAATACCTTTATGTTGCAATAAAACTTTCATTTTTATATTACACGTGAAACATATTTCAACTAAATAAATTATACTAACTAAAAATAGTATATATCGGAGGCCTTATTTATTACCACCTAAAATAGTTAAAACAACCACTGTGCGTCGGGCCGATTTCGTTGTATCCTTCGAAATCGGTGCAATTTGAACGTGCGTTTCGACGAGCCGACCAAGTTGGTCCGATCGGTTTAACCACAGAACATACCCCCTTAGAATGGAAACTGCAATGATAGGTTATGGAGATAAATTCAGCTCTCCACCTAGCGGTATAAGCACACAAACTATGGGAATGTGAGGAATTTCTCCGATATTTGACTCCTAATTATTGCATTCACCAAGTTTTATTAGGCCGAAAACTGCAAGTTTAACTTGCAGTTATCAGCCTAATAAATATATCGGGTCAATAAAAAACCTTGTTATGTAATATTTTATTCAATACGTAGTCAATAAATCAGTTACAACCATGTTTTATTGCTTTCGGGACTATTTGCAACAAATGTTTGTTCCTGTGATGTACCAGTGTTCCCCTTGTCCGGATATTTTCTGAAAGATGATTGATTTGCTCGGCTCCGAAACAACAATGTGAGGAATTCATTTTCTGGCATTGCCTAAAATCATTTGTCGCTTCAGCAATTTTACTAATTGTTTTCCTCAAATGTCAATTTTGCTTTATAAATAATGCTTTTTCAAGAAATTTTTTTTCAAGAACATTGCACTCCCCATAAAAAACGTTAACAATAATTGATAACCCAATAATTGGTAATGTCATTACAGTAATTGTAATTTTCGATATATAAAATATAATAAATATATTTCGTACTTCATTAACTTTATAATTATCTGCCTCGAATGCATGTATGCTCGCACAAACTGTATTCATTTATCTATTTATTATCTAGAAAAATCAAACTTATTTGTTAGTTACCTGGCTTCAGATTTAAAGTTGGTACAGCATTCCATGTTAAATTCGTGCATCTACTATCAAATACTGAATACTAAGCTTTAAGATGAGCTGCACATTT